CCAGTGACCCCGATACCGTCGACAGAAATTTGCTCTACATTTAACGGACGTTAAAAATCTGGGTGGAATTTGATATTCCTTTAAGGCCTAAAACATATAACTCGTCTTTTATAATTGAGATTGGTGGTACAAAACAGTCATAAGTTTTCTACAGAGTAAAAGAGTTTCATTGATTGTACAGTTTCAGCCGTCAAAGGAGATAGGTCGCCAGTTCACACAGAACATTCATTGCAGTCAAGTCAGCTGATGCTGTTTCCATGACAGAGGCCGCGTTTTCGGGATGGACTTCGATGCTGATCCGCTGGTGCAGAAACTTCGTCGGCCGTAGCTCGCCTGTTGGTGTCATCTTTCGGAGTTCCGCGACCGAGCGAGAGGCATCCTGTCCGAGAGGTCCGGGTGTTTCAGCACCTACGAGCGGTTCACGCAGGAGATACGCGGCATCGGGAACGCAGCTTGTGCCGATGTTGCATTGACGGTTGCCGCGGTGATTTGGAAGAACTGCACGGTCTGTCCAGGTGGTTGGTACTTGTGGGCGTCGTGGGAGGTGCCAGTTGCGTATGGTATGGGGAATGTGAATTCATTCGAACTGAGCCCTGATGTGTCTAGCATGTTGGAAGCAGATTTGCCGACACTTTATTTCGATCCGGCGAAACTTACTGCATGGAAGCAGGAAGCTGCGAATCTGGAAAGCTCCGATAATCGCCATCGTGTCGATTAGGTGAGAGGCTGTTGCCTGTCTCAAAGCTACGTCGGCAAATTAAAATCATGCCGTGTTAGCGTAGCCTATCAGTCTGCAACAGACCTTTGAGCGGCAGCATTAAAAAGAGTTTGGATATTTTGATAAATGTTGATATCTTGTGTCTGTTTCTTTATGTACAGGTTAGATGGTACGTTTTTCTTCCTGTCTACCTTAATAATTATTATGATAGGTTACTTTGTATCTGTATGATGTGTTTAGTGCGTGCACACCATGTGGAACGGTCCAAAATTACTTTGTATCTGTAGTTAAGTACTCTGTAGATTGTCCTCCGTTTTACACCGCTATATTATAGACAGTTTTCTAAGATATTTTCGAGACAGACAGGAAATCGAACACACCACTTACGTCGACACAATCGCACCAGGAGGTACAGTACGTTAACAGGTTCAGCTGTGTCTGACTTCTTCAAGTTTTAGCGATGTCATGCATCGTTTGTCCGTCGCATTACTCTCTTGTAATGCTCGATGGAAAAGGTTCCCTTACCAACGCAACGGGATCAGTAACTGCTAGTGCTATTGATCGGAAAGGAGACTTTAGTGCAGGTGCGCTTTGAAGGATAAGCAGAAAATAAAGTAGGCCCCGACTGAAACCAATTGAAGGCTTGTAGTCAAGGTCCAAGGAATCTAATAATGTCGCTCAAATGCAACGCTCTTCAACGGAAATAATCGCACGTTAACGTTTCACAAGTTACTTCGCATTTCTGAAGCTTCTTAATAGGCACCGATTTATTGGAAACTTGACGTGCTTCATTGTTCTACGAGGTGACAAATGAAATCCTGCCTCTACCAGGTAAATTATCGGTACTTTATAGTGCAACATATTCGTCCAGCAACACGTATTGAGCGGATTCGATTTATCCTAGGAAAGACCCCGAAAGAAAAGCTCTTGAGCAACACACTTCCTTCGACATTTATTCTGTATGTGTCCGAGCCCACAACATCTAGTGGGAGAGCTTCTGTGAAGCGCCGGAGGAAACTCTCAAGTTGATCGCTTACATGAATGTGCTCATGGCAAAACGGGATAATGCGATTCACGGATTCCTCGACACCGTGTCGATGACACGGTGTCATTCGTCATGTTTCTCGAAATTTTTTTGGTACAGCACTTCGCATGCCGCTATCGACAACAGATTAACGTTTCGTAACAATGAATGTTGTGGAAATTTGTAGTGCAGTGGACAACACGCAAAAGGTCCTTGTTGATCTTTACTGGTGCTTTCTACATCGTGGGCTGAATTGTAACCCATAAAGCTTTCGAAATGCTGCGTAGATCTCTGAGTTAATTTTTTAGTGAAGACGCTCAGAATACCTGTGCAGTACTAATGATATAGTGCAGTACTGAGTACAGATAATGATGGTGCGAATAAAGGAACCACTATGCACTCTTAAAATTGTACGGTATTTGCACATACGATAGTCAGTGGTTTAGTTTGCGTTAATTTTCCGGGGGCCTGCACAGTTCCCTGTAGCAGTGCTTTACACTATAGTAGAGATGGCAACGGCTCAGCCGAAGCCGTTTGAGCCGCGGCTAAGCCGGCTTCGGCTGAGCCGGCTCGACCCAAAATTGAAGCCGTAGCCGATGCTAGCCGAGCCGATTGGGCCGGCTCGGAGTATCAGCCAGCCGCGAGCCAGCCGTGAGCCGATGTCGGCTAACGGCTTGCGCATTGTGCGCGAAATGTGTTGGAAAGTTTAATTTCAGCTCTTTCGGCCCGTTGAAAGCCGATTTAGAGACTGACAAATCGATGATCTTATAAAATAAGTGCTGAATTTTTGTTTCGGAGACCTCTTTTTCCAATAAAAACTGACCAAAAACAGTTTTTGCTTAAAAAAGAACAGAAAAAATGTACTTTTCGGTGAAAAAATACTTGTGCTTTCCCGCGCTAAAAAACTATCGGCTAAGTCGGCTCGGAGCCGGCTTAGCCAGCTCGCGTTCAGAGCCGAGCCGTTAGAGCCGGCTCAGGTAGGTGAGCCGATACTTTCGAGCCGGCTCGCTGTTTTAGCCAGCCGCAGCCAGCCGATAAGCCATTAAGCCAGCCGTTGCCATCTCTACACTATGGTATAAAAACAGAAAGTGAGACTTTCTGCTGGAATAGTGTGAACGGCTTGTTTCTGGCAGGTCTATGGGAAATCTGTAACCAAATTGTTACACGCACGTGATTGGCACAATTTAGGGGCGTGGTTTAAGTACTATAAAAAGCTGATGGCTGATAGGCAGTCGCACAGTGCGCTAAAATCTTAAGAAGGTTCAATAATGCAGCCAGTGTAGATCAGTGGTAATGCGGACAGATACAGACGCAGCTGGCACGGGTTCGAGTCCCGTCATCGGCAGATTTTTTTTCTTCAATATCTTCATTAAATTCAGAAATTCATATTTAAATTCCATTTATAAAATCAGCAGTGTTCTCCTGTCGCAGGCGTCCGCCCTTCTAAGATGGTCCCGTCTACACATTGCGCAGACAGGCGATTCAACCTAGTGCTGGGGAAGTGATCGCACTGGCCGTGTTCCTGTTAGAAACTGTTTCTTCTACTGATGAAATAAATAAAATTATAAATAAAAAGCAGATGCATGTTTCGTATGCTCATTTTAACACTCATTCCTCGTGAATTACGAAGATTCTTGATGCAGATACATGGTAATGCAACGGGAACAAAACAAGTTACAAGTACTACTTATATGTTTTTCTCGTGAACTTGAGCATAGGTTTATGGCTTTATGGCCAACGGTTTACATGGAGTTCCTATCCTCCTATGCTATGTCTACGAGAAAGAAAGCTGGCTGAACTTGACCTGTTCGCCATGAGAAGCCATGTGTTTGGTATCAAAAAGTTTAGAATTATTTCTACACCTTTTGGTATGAAATTTGCATAGGTGTATCTCCAAATTCACGAAGCGCGGGCGTTAGGAAGTACATAGCTGACAGCTTTATGTGATCTTGAATTTTTAACCATATTTACTGGTGGCGTGTTGTTGCGAGGCTAGTCCATAAATCAGAGTCAAATTGCATTTGTATGTTAGGCTTACGAGGAACTTAGAATGGCTTTGGCTCACACTGGTTACCACAAATAGCTACTTGTATAGTATCAGAAGACTTCTGAATTTTTTCTCTATCTTTCTAGACTTTGGTTTAAAAGTTTCAACAGAAACTGAAGGAGATGCGAGCGTTAAAGTTACAGTAACGTGCAAGTCGCTTGCAACAATCAGCCCTTAGCCACGCACTTACACCTAACTGTCAGCTGTGTACGGTTGCGCTATGCCTGCTTGGTGGGAAGACTGGTTGGGCAAGTATTGTATCCTTTTCGTGAATCGTATCCAGCGTATCCCAAATATTCCCTTTCAATCCAGGCCACCGGAAGTAATTTCCAGAAGAAATTGTCACGTAGTGTTTTGAAAGTAAATTCCGTGCATATAAACTGTACGGCAGAGCAATAATTGTGACGCATTATCGAAAAAAAATTCATGATGGATCCGGATTTGCCTCGGGTTACATTTATTCTGATCACTCTGATGCAATCATTAAAAAAATTACTACGCAGCTATGATGAATAGTACTCAAACTGGTGCTGTTGACGTCGCCCCTAACCCAGGGGCACCGACGGGCGGTAACCGTATACGTCCAATGTTATAAGTAGGGGCGCACTGCCCCTGGCCCTTAACCTGCGCCCGGGCCGGGTTTTATATAAAACCCGCGCTATAGCAGCAACCTGCATATTATACAGGAATAAAGCGCTGCAGCATACAGACGCTAATTCGTCTTGCCTCATTCTCTCTCTCGCTCTCTGTTTGTACACTTATACATTGCAGCCAGCAGGCGGCCAGCAAGCAGGCTCAGTTTCAGCGGTTCAGTCTCTCTCTCCCTCTATTCGCTCTCACGTGCATGCACCGAATGCACTTTTGCATTCATGAATGCATCACTGGACATCTGCTTCACGCTCGCAACACGGTGCATAGTCAATCAGTGATAAGAAATCGATTTAGCATTTATTCCCATGCTCTTCACCCTGCAAATGTTTACAGTTATTTTCATTTTTATCCATTTAAGAGGCGCCCTGTATGTTGCGGTTGCTGTTTTTGCTCTTATCAGAATTTCATATGCTAACACGTTGACTTGTACGATGAGGTGAGTGAGAATGTGAGCGCCAGCGCGCCATTATGCATGCATTCATTTTCAAGACTGCCACATATGCAGTGCATATCTTCATCATTTTACGAAGAGAAATACTTGCGCATGTTATGCAGCTTTTTGTAAAGATGCCGCAATTAATTACGCAGTTAATTGTCACGGCAGCCGTAATAACAGTTTGTGCTGCCGTTGCATTGCAGCAACCTCTGTTAGCAAATGCCCACGGTCCCGCAACATACATCCCCTGTCCCTATTTCTGCGTTTGCCGTGAAACATTTTGGAAATGTTCCGACAGCAAGGCAAATCTGTGGCCGTTAGACAATCAGCCAACCGCGATCGTGAAGGGAGTGCAGATGCTGGATATGACCGGATCGGATGTCAACGTTCTCCCCAACTGGCCGCCAACCCACAACTTCCCTGATCTGCAGATGATTTTTCTGTCTCAGACTGTGTTTGACGGTTCCCGTCGCTGTAGAGAGTTGGAGTGTCTGGAGAAGTTGGGACTGCGAATTATCGCCAACCGCTGCCCGGCAGGTAGAAACAGTTAATACGCACCAGCAAAGGTCCTATTATGAATGTGCCAGTCAAAGAATTATATTGAATGCTAGTTTCCTGATAAATATGACATAAATCGAACAAAAATTGTTTTAACGGATATTTCAGATTTACGCAGTGGATGTGGATTTCCTCCATGCTGTTCGTGGACTTCCGCTCAACCGCCTTCTCAGTCGCCGGTCTCGACGGTTACTGAGTCTTGGTCAACCACCGCAATTCCTCGGGATAGAGACTCGAGCACCCGGGCCATGACTCCAACCGGCGCTGACGCTAGCGGTAAGACCACAGCAGCAACAACACCTTTGTCAGCGGCAGCAGATGGCGACACATACAATATTAGTAGCGTGACTGCCGCAGCAGAGGCTGTTGCCAATACTACATCAGTAATAATGGGGCAAAGTACAGCAGCGTTATCATTATTGTTTTCCACTACTGCTACACCGTTGCCGTTGACGCGGCCGCCGCTCCCGTCCACTGCAGCGGCTATCACTCACCGGTCCACACGACGATGGACATTGACCACCCCACCACCGCCGTCACCACCACAACAACGGCAGGCGGTGGCAGTAAGCTCGTGAGTGATCTGCCAGTGGTTATGCAGCCGCCTGACACAGCGACTCCTCATTGGCAACAGTCAACCACAATGCGCAACCTCGTGACACCCCTTTCACAGCAACTAGATTTTCGAGAAAGACTACACCATCAACAACGTCGTCATCACCTCGCCCGCTCACCACCACCCCCACCACTACTGCCCATAGCTTAAGCGTTACCACCACGATAACAACAGCAACACAAGGGCCTAGTGCAACGGCGAAGGTGTCAACAAAAGCCATCAGTGACGGCTTCAGACCTACGGTTCCGTTGTGGTCGCCATTGGTGTTATGGCCTACGACAACGACGCCGACGCCAGTTTTCATTAACGCTAGCACCAGTGCCAGGCTTCCGCTGCACGTGCTGACATTCATACATAATGACAGTAGAGGCGACGGGGGCAGCGGAAATCATGTTCTAACTGATTCTAACGCAACATTGCTGTTGTCATCTGCTGTGGCATCCACCAGCTTCGACTTCAGCAGCAGCGAGACCACCACCACCACTGCAAGCACTACCGTCTCCACCACTACCACCACCAGCACTACTGACACCACCACGTCCAATGCATGTAATACTACCTGTCCGCCTTGTATGCTTGCGGGAGTGAGGTGCAGCGTGGACTGGCCGTAGATCCGTACACTGTAGCTGGCATAACGGTCGGCATCCTTTTCCTGATCGGCCTGACGGTGCTGTGTATCGCGTGGAAGCGTGGTTTTCGTGTCGGTCGGACTGTCAACAGTGCCCGCAGCCATGATGTCGGGGCAGCACGGCCGACAGCTCCCCATGGTCGCCAAAACCGCCCCGAACGAGATGCCGAAGCCGGTCGTGTTCCACCCCACCAGCAGCCCCGAACGCCAATTTTCAAAAGAAATCGCTCGTCGGTATCGCCTTCGCGATCACAGCATCACTGGTTTTCACCAACAACCAGCCGAAGCCCGCCTCGTACTCGCCATATGCCGACGCCACGTCCCAGTCCATTCGCGTCCCTCTTCGCAGCGCGTCGACACACAGACCGCCTGTCTCCGGTTCGCCCGCATGAGGCCGTAGTCCATCACAACCCCGAGTACAATGGGCTGCCGCGGAACGACGCTGATAACATGCACCACCGTGACCATAGCCAAGACGAAAGGATTTACCAGAACGTGGACCTTGGCGGCAACAACCCAATTCCAGCGGACGGCGGTGAGTTTTGTATGTTATCAGTATTCGATAAAATAAATATTTCCGTTTGTAATTAGGGCTGCAAAATCGCCATCCTATAAATCTGCTGGATTTTGGCTACGAGAGCAACAGCAACAGCAACAACCAGCACCACGGCGTCAACGACCAAGTTGCCCAACCTGATATTCCACCAGGTAAGGATTTTTAGCAAGCGCGCCTATGACAAACCACGCAATAATCGAGAAGTTTGTGGGTTAGCATCGTTGCCGCCGGAAGCATCATCGTCGTCGTCTTCGGTTTCCTCCCCGCGACAGCAATACTTGTTTCGCGTCAGCGAAGAAGGTAACACCCAAGCAAATAGTCTGTAAATGTTCAGATAATTTTACTTTCTGAGTAATTCCTGTATAGGTTTTCGTCTGCCGCTGCAAAGCAGCCTCAATGCTGAACGGGAGATGGACACCATCGACGAGAATGACAATGAATGGGAGGATGAAGATGAGGAGGGAGACGATGACGGCGACGTTAAGCACCATGTAGTCGGCAGCGGCCACGACGACGACGACCAAAATAACGACCGTGACGACTATGGTAATTATAAATAATAATTATGAAAATATCTCCTAAACAACACATCGCTTCTATGAACAGGGCGCGAAGAGCCACCGGTGAGCGGTGACCTGGGCGTTGGTCAAGGCAAACAGCAACAATACTATGACTATCCGTATGACTATCCCCTGCCGCAGTCGGAGAGCGAACATCCAGCTGGGCACCGTGGGCGCGGAGGGCGCAGAGGAAGAGGAGGGCGAGGACGCGGCGGTCGGGGTGGAGCGCCCGAGTGGTGCCGAGAAGCCGGAAGTCGCCTGTCCAGACTGGAGTGAAATGGCTTATTGTTTTGGGACGTAAGGAGTTTCTTCTTCTCTCCTCAATTCGTCTTTTGTTATATAAATGTACAGCTTTTTGTTGTTTTGTCGGGTCGAAAATTATTTCTGGAAATTAAATCCCTTTTTTGTATAATACAAGTCTTAGGAGCGGCGGCGGCTTTATACGCTGTATTTACTTTAGCCCTAAATGGTAACTATGATTTGTTTCTTGAATTTTTCAATAATAAACAGCAAACGGAAGTAATGGCCAAGTCAGCTTTCCCGTCAGTTTTTATTTCCGGTAACAACACGGTAACAGAAGCAGTTCATTGTGCAAACAAGAAACGATGTAAAAAGTCCCGGATGTTCATGCACTATTAATTGGGACGGGTGGGCTGGAACTAGTTCCCATGCGCTTGCTAACAACTACTTGCATCTGGCAGTTCAGACATAACAGTCGCAGTTTTCCACGTTTTCGAATAATCAGAGTGCAGCAGCTAGCACAGCGCGGACATTGTACAAAACATTTGAAGTAGTTTTTCAGCACTTGTTGCACATGGCGGACGTTGAAGTGGCGATAGATGTCAATATAGGTGTATTTCCGGTAAACATCCGGGACGTATGTAGTTGGCGGTTGTGGCTCTAGTCCTGGGCGCGAGATAACAGTAGCGCGCAGTGATGTTTGGAAATAAACATCAAGAGGTATCAAGGGCTGCTCCATGATGTTTTGAAAGTGGTAAAAGTTAGACAGGCGTGTCAGACATACCAGGCTGTGGTGATGGATAACGATAGGTGTTGGAAGCGGCTGTAAAATATCTTATGTATATATTTTAAAAAGGAAAAACGATGTGATCTACATAGTACAAATCATAAAAACAGTATGACACACCGGAGTACGGTGATGACTAATAGTAGGTGTTGGAAGTGGCTGCAATATGTCTTCTATATATATATATATATATATATATTATACAACGAGAAACGAGGTGATCTACTTACCAGAATAAGCGATAAGGCCAGGTGAGAAGGTAATGGGGATGGTGATCTGTCGGCGGTGCTGGTGCTGGTGGACATATTTACAGTAAGAGAAATATTATCCTGCTCAGTGGTGTTCTCGTAGCTGCCGCCGGCGCCGTTTTCGGAGAAATGGACAGGCGTGGGTGGAGGAACGGGTATTGTCGGCGGTGTGTTTTCGCGGTAGTCTTCACTTGTAGCATTGTTACCAGCGGTGTATGGTGGCGGGGGCGAGGCAGGCGGCTGCTGTTGCTGCTCCTGTTCACAATTATTTTGCCGCTGACGGTTGTCTCGAAGCGGGGCGACTGACGGCAGCTGGCGACGACGGAGTGAAAGAGGCATTCGGCTGGTGTTGTTGCCCGTTGGGCAGAGACGGCAGAGATTGGGGCGGCGGCGGCGGCGGCGGCGTTGCCTCTGGTGACGCGGGGGAGTAACTTGGTGAGGAAGGTGTTAGTAGCACCGACGATAAAGGCGACGACAACGCCGGTGCCGACGGTAGAGCAGGTATTTTGCTCTTGTTGCTATAATTAGTGCAGGCGATATTCGGAGGACACTCTAAGATTCCCAGCAGGCGCTTATAATACTTCTGAAGTATTGTCCAAAGGAGCTGTCGGGCAGCGTCAGATTTTGCAGAGGAAGTTGTTAGTCCACAGCCGATCACGTATATATCCTCGTTTGCAACGACAGCCTGGCAGTTCCAACGTGCGGCCTCTGCGGAAGGGACGCGGCGATATTCCACGTCAAAATTTAAAACCGTGGCAATATTGTCCAACAACTGTGTAAGGCGTAGGGGGCTGAGGTTACTGTCACCGGATGTTTCAGTGTATGTGCCCGTTATGGTCGCGGCCGCGGGGTTGGCAGAATTCTCCAATAGCCTCAGTAAAATGCTGTAATAATTGCGCAGCACCAATGCCAATAACTTCTTCGCACTGTCCTGCTTAGCCGTAGCAAATGATTTCCCGACACCTTCAGCAAAAATCTTTTCAACAATTATGGCCGCGCGATACCTGCAAATAGCCTCTTCGTTCTTCTTCCGGGGAATAGTTTTATAATCCAGGTCAAATGACAAAATTTTGGCGACAAGGCTAAGTATTGTAGTGAAATGACGCCGTACCATTTCGAACGAAAAGCGGCTCAGGCTGATATGCGCCTTTAGTCGGTGGCAACATGCGTTTATAAAAGCCGCGGGTCAGCAGTGGGCGGAGAGGGCGGCGTGGCTTTGGTACATAATAATTTAATTAGGCAGATGTTGTTGTTGTTGTTGCACGTGCGGTCTCTCGGGATTAGGCATGCGCACACCCCTGCGTCCGCCTTGTATATGAGGGCGGCGTAACTATTCCTTTCGTGTCTATATAAATGCCGTTTAGCTGGATTTCGCGCCCACTTGGACTACTCGCTCAATTTACTGCTGGCTTACTCGCCGTCGCTGCCGCTTTGCAATAAATTGTGTTCGCTTGCCATCTGTTATCCGGACGCCATCGCCATTTTACTGCTACGCTGCTGCTGCTGCTGCTGCCATTGCAGTTGGATTACTGTGGAATACTTACACTTGTTCTGCGGGCACTTGTTCTGCAGCTGCATTGTCCGTTTGTTAGCTTGGTAAGTGTTGCGCTGCTGCTGCTGTATAGAAGAGAATGGTGAGAACACCAAGTAATCGGAGGGAGAGCGGTGCTGGCGATGGCCCCAGTAGGTCTGTAGTTGCTGTTAGCCGTCGCAAGGTTGCGTTGTTGAAAAAACTTTATACGGATGTAACATCTCCAGCTTACCTTGCGGGAGCTGCAGCGCTTCATCGCTTGGCCAAAGAGAGAGAAAAAGAAATACATGTCAGAATAAATTTGCGTGACGTGAAAGAATTTCTTTCTCAGCAGACAATTCACGCACTTCATAAGCCGGTTCGTTTTAAATTTAAAAAAATAAAAAATTTCTGTGTGGGAATTGATAATGTCTGGCATGCGGATTTGGTGGAACTGCAAAAAATTAAAAGATTCAACGATAAATACAGATTTATTTTGACAATGGTTGACTGCGTCAGCCGTTTTGCTTTTTCGCAACCGCTGACTAGCAAGTCCGGAAGTAAAGTTGCAAATGCTATGGAAAAAATATTTCAGAATCGTCGCCCTGTTGTTCTAGGTAAACTTACTCTGTTAGTTGCAAATGTTTTGCATTTTGTTTTACTTACTCTATTTTTCATTTTCATGGTTGTGCTGCTTCAGTAACCGATGCAGGGAAAGAATTTCTCAATGAAAAGGCGAAAGAAGTTTATATTAAATACGGTATTCGGCATCAGGTGTCTGCGTCGCGCTTCAAAGCAGCCCTAGCAGAGCGCTTCAATCGTACTCTGAAAACGACACTTTTCCGCCATTTCACGTTTACCAAGAGCCCAAACTGGTTTTCATCACTGCAAAATATTGTCAGCAATTATAACAGGAGCGTACACAGTGCCATCAAGATGAAGCCAGCTGAAGTGTCAATTAAGAACCAGTCCCAGCTGTTTAAACTAGGACAGGAAAAAAGATTTATCAGGCTGGAGAAGCCCGCGTTTCGGCTAGGCGAGTCCGTGAGAGTGATGCTAAAAAAAGCCCAATTCAGCAAAGGCTATACTCGAACATTTTCTGATGAAATGTATAAAATTGCTGATATTGTTTACGGACCGGTGATAATTTATCGACTAGAAGATTCTGATGGCCGTCTAGTAAAAGAACGGCAGAATGGGCGGGCGTCGCAGTTGTTCTATAAAGAGGATTTAGCGAGTGCTCGAAGATCATGAACCGACGTGCAACGCGCGTATGTTTTTATTGTTGTCAGGGCTGACGAAAACTTTATGTTGTTATTTTTTTGCAGAAAGCAGTAATGATGGATAACGGGTTTTACGTAACACTGCACAGTGCGGCCGCCCTGGCATATGGAACCCAAATTCTGCACAATACCGCAACCCATTTTGCCAATAAGCTGCAGTTTCCGCTGCTATCATATAGGGAACAAGAGGAACCCTGGGAAGTAGCTCTTGTTCGTGCTCATTCATCTGCCAAGTTCACTCGAATTCCACTGGAACAACGCCAAATCTCCATCTTTCACGGAAAGTGTGGTGAATCGTTCATCGACGGATTTCTCGCAGAGACGGATTTTGACTTACCGCCGGCCGAATTTGTAGCCGCTGTTAATAAGGTGGTGGAAGCGATGGTCGTTAGCTGTGGGACCACAACATGGACCGAAGAAAAGCCGCAGATTCAACTCGTGGACGGAAAATTTCAATGGATTAGCAAAAATTATGGCTATCAATTTGTTAATCGCGGCAATCTGTTGTCGGCTGCCCTTGGCCTGACGTACGACGAAGCGCTGGGGATATCGCGTCAACATGTAACCACATCCTACGTTCACGATCAGTCATTTCATAAATACGGCGATACACGCTTTATTAGACATCGACTCCCGGTTGACCCGACACGCGGTCGACGTCAGATTGCGCTCTTATTAAATCACGTTATTCCAACAGCATTTGGAGGCAGGCTAGAAAACATCTTGGCGATAGCGACTGCCGAAGATTTGAAAAGTGGCTATGAGCCAAAAAATCGAATTTACGTTCCAGTTCACAACTGGTTTAGCAAGTCAAATCCGGAGATTACCCTGAAGTCAGACTGGCAAATGGAGTGGACGGACGAAAGCCTTGGCGAAACAACGATTACACTTCACTATCGAAAATCCCGGCGACAAACACAAAAAGATTTCTGAAGATTGCTGTGAAGTGTGTATGTGGGCGTGTCGTGAGGTGTGGCCTAAATGTTTGGCTGTTTTTATGCGTGCGGGTGTGTTGTTTTCGGTAGAAGAAATGGATAATATAAAAGTGCAGATGAATCATGCAGAAAGTTCATTCTGGTCGTTGCGTGGGTAGTGCATAACAGTAGTGTTTGTAAACACTACGCGTTTCTCACAGTTGATCATTGTCGCAAGGAAAAACGGCTAAATACGGCAATAAAAAAAGAAGGCGCAGCAGTCGTCGAGCGGTCATTAAGCGAACGATAGTTCAATCAACAGTGATTGGTAGATATCGAAGGCGAAGACGAGGACGGGGAGGGCGACGACGTCGAAGACGAACAATACGCACAGGTCTTTTTCAGAAAATTACCCGAGGAAAATCGTTGGCTTCTATTGTGTAGAAAGGTTGAAAAATGACTTCCGTGGCAGCGA